TACTTTCTTTGCAACTTTCCTGAATTCACTACTTGAATTGGAAAAATGTACGGGAAAAATTGAACCAGATCACTTTGCTAGCATAAAGTTTAGTTGGACTGGTTTGAGCGAAATTTCTTTATAAAACAGAAATTCTGTCCCTTCCCTACAGTTAAGAAGGTTTGGTTTTCTGCTATGCAACAGCATTTGGATGCTTAAACTGTTGAAGCCGAAGTTCTTATCAATGATCGGAATGAATTAGAATATTTTGAATGAAGCAAAAGTATCAGCTGAAAATTTGTGACCATGTCTCCTTTGAATTTTTCAAACATTTTATATGATAACAAAGAAACTTCTAAAATTAGCATATAGGTGATAGAACGACTGTATATCAGAATAGATAAGTGTGCAGTGACCCCTACTTCCTTAGGTCATCATTTCAGAGAGCAATGCACTTCTTTCTTATGAATGACCGCATCAGAAGGGAAATCAATCAATCGTTAGGTGAAGGATACGATGGAGCAGCATTGTTGTCTAGACCTGTCGCTGTGTACTAATTAATTTGATGGCACTGTCATGCTAGCATTTGCTATTGAGTGCAGTGAAAGGCAGATCAGCATCATTGCTAGGGTTATTGACATTGTTTGGAGCTGTTTGCACTCTTTCGTAAACACGTAGTCGATTGCTTTCTTTCCCTCTCTGCACGTGTTGTTGATGCATTTGCAATTTAGTTCGATTTTAAGTCTAAAAGCTAACTAAGCCAACTCTCAGACGCATTCGTCCTCACGTCAGATTACTCCCTCCGTCATTTGCTTACTTCATCTTAGTTGTCTATCTCTTTCTCACTTCTCTGCATAGTTATTAAATTATGCAAAACAAATAATAGTGTAAAAGTTAGTAATCTACGTAAGTTGGCTTTGCGCCACTTCGCTCTAGCACTTATTAATCCTCTATCTATCCAACTTTCGCATCAATTGATTTAAATATCATTTTATTCACGTTTAAGTGATCAATTTTCATTCCAGATTTCACGATAATTTCTGTTCAGTCTCTTAACGATGAATGGACATCGTTTTATACAACATTTTAACAGTAACCGACGTGGTACGTTTAGTATACACATTATTTCTACTTTTGTTTCTTAAAAATGACTGTAATATTTTTTAAATGCTTGAAAAAAAAGACTGGAAGAACTTATTTGAACGACTTCATTTCACACCATCTGCAACGTTTATAATTCTACGTAAATTAGATTATTTTACGTAGAAATAGTATGATTAGTGCATAGCTCGTCATGCACTAACATGACATTAAGCCCTTCATATCAGAAAAAAATGACAACCTTCATTTTACTACATTTACTGAATTTAATCTTTTTTTAAGTCAAAACTTCACGTTAAAATTTCTCAAGTATATGAATAAGTTATCTCTCATATTTTTTTGCTGGTTGATTCCTAATGTATATTTTCATATTTCATCCTTTTTTTTTTCATTAGATATGGCTAATTTGCTTCATGAAGACAAACGTATTAATGGGGAAGACGTTTGGTTAACGGAGGACACGAAGCGCGCTATAATGCTTTCCATTGTCCCAGGCGCCTTGTCATTTGGTGCTTTTGCATTTTTTCGCAATGATAAAAATTTAATCATTTGGTATAATGTAAGCATCAATTTATTTTTTCTTAGGTAAAACTCGTAGTCAGAAATAATCTGCGTAATAAGACACGGTTCATTGCAAGTAAGAAGAATTCAGAGAATGCATAGAAGCCTTATAAAATTGTTCACTTTGCTTCTTTACACCACCAGCGTAGAGACTCGCGTTCCTTTGCCTATCTTGTCATTTTATTCTAAATTTTATATAAAATAAAAAAAATAATTTGTCTAGCGGACATACAAACCGAAATGGGCAAAAGTAAATCCGTTCGTTTATGGAATATTAAATGCTGCGACCATTATACCATCTACTTATGCAGCATGTGTTGTGTACAAGCATGGAGGAGGTTCACGATTTATTTTCATATTTTGATCAAGTTTAATAGAATTTCAGCACCAGTTTTTAAATCAATATAACAATAGTTGAACTGAGTTTTTTTTTTCACTATAATTGTTGTTTCAGTTAAATACATTCTATAATTCTCAAGTTACTGAATTAAGCTTAGCAATTAAGCGTCTTTAAAGATTAATATGAAGAACAGTTGACAGCATTGTTTCCAAGGCTCTTACTGGCATTCCATTTGTAAGCTAAATTATATCACTCTCAATAACAACTCGTGTTTGAAATTGAAATAATATACTGTGTTTATTTTTCCATTATTTGTTAATAATTTTCTCGAATACTGTGCCATTACTTTAATACGAAAAACTTTCTACAGAACTGCTTGCAAAATGCAAGTGTTTATTAATAAATGAAAAGTATGTGAGTATTTTGATGGTGACCTTTTTTCAACGTTTCGATCATTTAGGTCTTGGACACAATGAAACAAAGTTAGCACTATCATTATTTGCTAGCACATTGACTCTCGCAATCGTTACCATACCAATTATGAAGAAAACTGATTATGATCGCGTTAGTTTTTCATTACTAGTCTCTTTTTTTATATTAATCTCATTTAATCGTGGTGGTATCAGAAACAAAGAATACTCTCTACATCACATACTTTTAATATGAATTAAAGGAATTAATATTGTTGTTTTCTGTAGCGAGACAAACAAATTTGCATTTTCAATCTTTTTACTAATTAAAAATTCTGAAGTGAGTAAGTATCGAAAGCTTTTGCAAAAATTTTTTCTGACGAGCATTTTTGTACAGTAATTATTTACCTAAGCATTTATTATTAATTTTGTTATAAATGGTCGATATTTTTTACTTTTACATATTTTTGATTGTTACTTTTTTTAAACTAATGATCCTTCTGAAATATATTTGGTTCGTCTTTGAGTTGAAATGTACTTACTCATTTTAGGATTAATTCGAATAGGTATTTTTCAGTGGCATTGAGAAATAACTTAAATGGGAATTTTATTCTGAAATAAATGAAGATGTCATAATTATTTGTTGGCTTATTTCACTTCTCAAGCTCAGCATTTAGCTCTTTTTTCTTGATGTATACATCTTCAATTGCTCTGCTCATCAGTTGACCATATCTTGCAGTGCTACAAAGAGTGAGGTTTGCAGTGACTTTAAGATTTCAAATTTTCAGCTTTTCTCCAATACAATTTTAGTGCATCTAAGCGGAATTGGTACAGCGATTGCCTTTGGCAGAGTATGTTTTCCATTTTTTACTTGAAATCACTACTAATATAAGTATGAAATAAATTATGGCGCCAAAGTTATAAGTTGAAAAAAAATGTGTTTAGCACTCAGAAATTATTTTTGATCATATTTGTCATGCATATTTTAATCACTGGATTTGCGTTTTAAACAAAAAACCATGATAAGTGATAAACTCTGTAAATTTTAGTCGAGCAATTCAAATCATTGTAATTAATAAGCTTCACTGATTACCTGAAAAGTGATTGCCTGTACAAAATAATCAGTAATTACACTAATTCAAATCAGTTTATTACGAAACAATTTGTCTTCGTTTTCACGAATTTTCAATTTTATATCACTCATCTTGCAGATTCATGATCAAGCTGGAATATTGATGGTACCATACGTTTTGTGGACAGGTTTCTGCTCTTTTCTCACCTACTCCTTGAAGAAAATGAACAGAAAGAGTGAAATTGATCTCGACACTTGAACTTCCATGTTTTCCCAAATTTGCAAGCATAATCAAACGTTTAGACTGCCTCATTTGAATGTTCAGTTTTTTAACAAATTTTTTGAGTAAATTTGCTACAAATTCTCGGGAACTAATTAGTTATCTAGCCATACTTGAAATAATAAATCCACACGAAAAACAAATGGCTAATATTTTTACTACTCTGAATTTAAGAACTAAACAAAAAGTATAGTCGCATTTTTTCGATCTTTCAGTTGGATATTTTGATTGTAATTTTATTAATTGCTAAAAAACGTTGATAATAAGTCAGCGGTTCCATCATTTTTTCACGTTGATTCTCTCTGAACTTGTCATCTCATTTCTACATACTTCATTTCACTTTCGTCGACCTCGAAATTTCGGTGTAAAAAGTTTCTGAATTGAAGTAAAATTTTTTTTGTGTTATTATTTTTCATATTTTGTCATGTACTTTTCACTTATTCAACTCTTTTTTACCTCCTTTGCTATGTAAGAAAATTTTTTAGAGGCGTTGTGATCATAAATAATGTTGTTTATTTTGGAAATCAGGTGATAATGAAAATTGCGATAAGGAAAAACAGCATACAAAGTATTCTTAATAATAAGTAGTTTAGTGCTGAATTTTTCTGAGCGAGATTGTTTTCGACGAATTCGATCCGATATCAGACCCAAATTTAAAAGTCTGTTCAAATAATTTGTGACTTAATGCGATGTTATGGATAAATCTTTCATAGCCATAATGATTGAATAAATGATAAGTGATGGTAAAATGAGCTTAATGATTGAATTCTACTGTTGCGTATCGTGAAATACTGAAAGTACTGCTTTGTACAGTAGAATTTTAATTCTGTCGAGCAGTTCTATTGTTTTTTGCCAGTTTTGTGCAGTTTTATTCTAATATCAGTTTTCATCGAAATTTTTCATTTACTTGGAAGCACAACGACATGAATATTTAATTAAAATAAAGTATGGTTAAAAGTTAAGTGAATATCTCAATAAAGTCTCTTCCCTTTTAATAATATGTGAAATTTTTTAAAGACTAATAAGAACAAAAAGTTTTGTGGATATGCATAACTTACGTAATTTCTAGTAACACTAATGCTTGATACGGATTTATTTTTGCATTCTGTAAATCGTAATTTGATGTATAGAAATTGGCTTGATGATATTGTGTTTGTGTTTGAGAACATATGAATCGAGAATCGTAGAATGTTTAATCAGAACTAAATGGATTGGTACTAACGATTGTGTCATTAATTATTACTGGCTGGAATTTATGTTACGAGAACTGAGATTCATAATTAATTTCCATATATTGATTATACTTTGTATTTACATAGCAGTTGCCGTGAGACAAATTAAAACTTTCAGTACATTTATTTATCTTTCATTTCGAAAAGATTTTTGATATATATATATATATATATATAT